CCTGTCCATGCCACAGGACAGGGCAGCCCGGCCACCGCGCTGCTCCACAGACACCAGAGTCCAGGCTCCTTGCTTCTGGGGGAAAAGCAAGCACAGGGGGTCGGGAGGCTCAGAGCCACACAGGACCCCACTTCTGCCCACGTCCCGCTGGCCAGCATCAGTCACACGAGCTCACGGTTCTGCAGGGGACTGGGGAAGTACACTCTGGCTGAGGACCCCAGAGTCCAGGGACACAGGACCTGGTGGACACAGGGCCGTCTTCCCCACAGGGGCGTTTGGTTGCCAGCCACCAAAACTGAGCTGGCTTCAGGCCTCCAGGGATTTCTGAGTCAACACTGGGATGTGTGGAGGCACAGAGAGAGCTGGGGTGAGGGCAGCGAGCCCTGGGAAGGGCTGCCTCTTCCTCATCGGGGCAGCGCCTTCAGCCTCACTGAGGCTTGGGAACTGGAGTCCGTGCCCCACCTTGCTCCTGGAGCCTGGAGCCAGAGAGTGCAGCCTGGCCTCCCGGGCAGTCTGCCCACCTGGTGGCTCGTCCAGGAGAGTCAGTGCCTCCCGCGTGGGCAGAGAGAAACAGGACGGCCCAGCGTCCCCCAAACCCTCAGGAGGGCCAGGAGTGGTGGCGGGGAGCCTGAGGGTCTGCCCTGCCCACGGTCCTCGTGGGTCTTGGTTCCACATTTCACGTTCCCAGAACGTGGCCCAGCGGGGTCAGGGGGACGCTGAGCCCACCGACTCTTGCCGAGGGAGACACTCCTGCCGCATGGCCCTGGAGGCAATTCCTCTGCATCAGGGCACCTCCCTGAGAAGGGGCGTCCATGGTGGACGCTCAGCTGAGAGGAGTCCATTTCAGCAGAGGGACAGGTGCAGAGTGACAGAGAATGGACCATGTGGGTTTCAACTTAGAGTGACCAGGGAGTTAGGCAAGGGGACAGCTTCCCTGAGATGGCCCAGCCAGAGAGGGAGGTAGGTTGGGGGAGGGATAAAAGGGGACAGAGGGACAGAAAGAGCCAGGCCATCCCGTGGCATCCTCTCTCCTTTTCAGATAAGGCCCAAGCTTCCGCATTTCACGGGAGCTTGCGTTTACCATCCGTGATCTGGTGTTTGTCCCTGTTACCACCGTGAAAGCAATCGAATCCCCATCACTGACAGGCCAGCCATCTCTGGATCTTAGAGTGGCTTTTAATAGTGAAAACCTGGAAGCAACAGAAATGGCCACCCGATAGGGACGGTTTGAATGGACACGGCAGCTTCATACTGTGGACCGTCCGGCTGTGAAATGGATGGACAGATCTGTAAGCACTGAGGCAACCGTGGGGAGGGGGAAGCAAACCGTAGAACTGTGTGCAAGGTCTCATTCTGTTTGAATGTGCGCGTGTGTGTGTGAGAGTGTGTGAGCCTGTGAGTGAGAGCCAGGAACAGGCGTGAGACACACCCGGCTACTGTGGGTGCTGGTTAGGCCTTGGGGCAGGGCTGGGCGAGGGCAGAGGAGGGTCCCCAGTTTCCACTCTAGAGACAGCTGCATCGCTTTTCTCTTCTTACAATAATTGGCTGGTGGTTGGGTAATAAAAACGTTTTTAATGTCAGCCTTAAGTTTGCCAGAAAATTGAGACTTTTGAAACGGCTCATCCCAAACCCTATGATTTCTCGACCTCACAGGCTGCTTGGCTCGCTCCCAGATTCGCCAACCTATTTTCTATTATATCTGTAAAGTTGTATTTACCTCGGGTGAGATTGGTGCGTTTTTCAAAAATATGTATGAACTTGGCTAGACGACAGAGTGCCCTTCCTCCACGCAGACCCGGGGGTGTGCCCAGGCCCCACGCCGCCCTGTGAGGATGGCCGTCCGCAGCCTTGAATCCCGTCTCCCTCAGGAAAGACAGCCGTGGGTTCCCATCGCTCCGACTCCAGCACCGAGCACGACATTCAGACGAAGTGTCCGTTAGCTGCCAATTAGATGCACAAGCCAATGAAATAAAAAACTATAATAACTGTGCAAATACGTAACACACACACGCACACACACACACACACGTGTATTCATGAAGGGATGGGAGTGCTGTGGTGCAAGATGACAGCTCTTTGCTGTCTTGCTAATGAGCAGATAATCGATCGTGTCCTTCGTTACAATATCGGTCAGGATGCCTGGTTGTTCTCGCAGAACGTCTAAATCAGATGTCTGAGGAAAGGGGAAATTTATTTGCTCCCAGAACTCGTGAAATCTAAGAGGTAAATTGGTTTCAAGGATGGCTGCAGAGGGCCGGGAGTTGAGATTCAGTCTCAGGTGGCCTGCCTTGGGTTAGGTTCTCCTCGCCTGGCCCTGGAAGGGAGGCCCTGATGGGCCAGGCCTGAGCCACCTGACCAGCCCTCGCCCTCCCTGAACTCTGTGCAGAGGGTGAGGAAGGGGTAGGGCCCCAAGGGAATGATGGCACAGGTACCCCAGGGAGGGGAGGATCCAGGAGAGCAAAGCAGTGCACGCCTACCGCAGCTGGGCCTGACGCCACCCGCAGCCCACCCCACGGCAGTCTACCACACCCTGCAGCAGTCCACCCCACGGCAGCCCACCCTCTGCAGGCTGCAAAGGACTGAACGAGTGTGGAGGAGTCATCTCCTTGATCTGCAGCCGTCCTGAAGTCACACTTGTCCCCATTTGTCCCCATTTGTCCCCTTTAGGGTTAAGCCACGCCTGGGATCAGAAAGTTCTGGTAGGAAATGGAATGAAACATGGTTACATGCAGGAATTCCACATCTCAGGGACTGTCCTTTAAAACAAAAGAACAAACAAAAGTCCAGCCCAAGTGTCCAAAGGCTTCCTGGGGTGTTATTTTAAACTGTGGACATTTTTAAAAGATTGTTAACCATCTAAAGACCAAGGAAGAGGAGATGATGAAGTACAAAATATTCACACGATTATAATTTACACAGCCGTTACATAATGTCCAGAATCACACTGGTGAGTGACATCACGTTTACAGTGATCTCTCAACAGTGGGAAACCAATACACACCATTTCTTACTTCTTGTTGTATGCTTTCAAAAATATGTGTATGGTGTTTTAGGACGAAAATTACAATGGTATCAAGAAGCGCAACCTGGGGTGGATGGGGATAGTGGCTGGCATGTTCAGAGACATTTGGGAAGGATTTTGAAGAGGGCCAACATTGGGTGTCATCGGGTCCAGCTGCAGGACTTATGGCAAAGAGCAAATCTACTCCCACCTGCTTGCCAGCTCAGGCTGAGGTCGGCCAGCTTCAGCCGAGGGCAGATGGTACGACAAGCACCCACTAGAGCTGTGCCTGACCCAGCAGACCCAGGCGGGGCTTGGTGTCAATTCCTCTGCACTCAGGGGGACTTTGTGACCTTCAGTGGTGGTAGAACCTGAAGTGAGACCAAAATGTCCCCTGCAGAGCTGTCGAGGGGCACACCAGCTCCCCCTGGTGGCCGGGCACTTCATAGGCGAGCCTTGCCCAACCGTCCAGTAGAACCACTTCTTCAGACACTGGGGCAGAAGCTCTTAGTTAAAGGAAACACAACCGTCCAAGGTGCCTGCAGGAACAAGCAGCAAACCAACCTCAAAAATCCTTTAAAGTTTCAGGGGTGCTAGCACTGAGCTATTAAATCCCCACGCCAGCTCCTGGCTTTGGAAGGAAATCAGAGACCCCCCCGCTGCGTTTTTGTGCTTTGCTCCCTGTGGTCCTGGGTAATTGTTGGCTGGCGGTCTTGCGAGGCTGTCATCCTGGCAGGGCTGTTTGTGCTATTGTAAACACCATTTATTTTTATTGAACATAGTTCACTCGGACCCTCTGTGCAAGTGATTGAGAAACAAGTCCAAACGGGTTTGAGCAAATAAGGAACATCAATGCCTTAATTACGGAAAAGTCCTTGGGCAAGGCTGGGTTTGGGCAGGACATGATGAGTGGCAGACCTGCCATCGCTGGGGGTCAGTCTCTTTCCCCTGGGTGCCCCTCATTCTCAGGGCCTTTCTAACCCTGCCCTGCAGTGGTATGAGATGGCTCATCTTTGGCGCCAGTTACACATGCCCAGGTTCACCCCCAGGGAAGCTGCGGCTTCCCCCATCATGGGCCACATCTGGGCCTGGACTGGTCAGCATGCCCTGGGATGGGCATGGGCTTTTCTAATCAGGGCTCATTCCAGAAGTTCTCCAGAGACAAAGCAGAGGAAAGCAATCCAACCCAAACCACGTGGGCAGAGAGTCAGCGAGGGTGAGTCCCCAAGGAAATGGGAGGCACTGCCTTACAGCAGAAGAGCAGCCGTGGAGTGACCAAGACAGGGGTCCCCAGGCAGCAGTTTAAACACGGGCTGTTCAGGGCGACCACTGGGCTCCTTCCTGTTCGCTTCCGAGCTCCCGGGTTTCCTGTTTTGAATGTTTAATCATGGAATCCGAATATCTGTCAAATGGCCAAATGGGAATGAAGAGAAGCAGTGGTTACCAGGTGGCCTTATCAGATCTCGGTCTAACACTCTGTGAGACTAGAAGAACAAGAAAGAAGTACAGTGTAAGTGACTCTAAACCTCGGTTGGGTTTTTTTAATCTATAAAACGTGAGTGGTAATTGCTGTTTGACATGCCTGTTGGAAGGGTAGCTCTGACAATTTCCGTAAAGTACAGCAATCCAACGCCTGGGTGTCAGATTGCCCCGTAAACGTGAGTTCCCGTGCTGCCATCTTTGTCTTGTTCCATGGGCTTCGAGATCTAGAGGCGACTACCAAAGGGAAATGTAGAGCCACATCCAGGAAATGGAACATTCTGGAAAGCATCCAAGGTCCCCTTGAACGAGGATAGTGAATAGGTTCATTCCCCAGGACCATCTCCACCTATGGCCCGTGTCTGACTGGGGAGCTTTCAAAGGCACATTTGCACACAGTAGGTAAAAATGCCACGGCCGATCTCCAGGGCCTGCCCTCCTCGACACAGTGTGCTGGCCGCCTTTCCCAGGCATTCGCCCCAAACTAAAGGCCACCTTCTCTGTTGTGTTTGCTTTGTAGACTCTGGAAAACCCCAAGTACGAGTTGATCATCGAGGCGCAAGACATGGCCGGGCTGGACGTCGGGTTAACAGGCACGGCCACAGCCACGATCGTGATCGATGACAAAAACGACCACTCGCCAAAGTTCACCCAGAAAGAGGTAAACCCCGCCGGCCGCCACCTTGGGGGTCTCAGCCACGGCCCCGGGTCGGTGCCAACTCTGGGCACCTCAGCCCCTGCTGGCCCCCTGATTGCAAAATGGAAGCACTCCTCTGCGGTGGGCAGGACGGTGTTCTGCTGGAATTCCGTCTTGCGGTTTTTTATTTTGTGTTTGTGTGACGTTAAAATGCCAGGAAACCGTGAGAACAAAAGCACTGAATCTTGTTAAAGTCCGTGAGAAAATAACTTTTAATGCCAAAGTGCCATTTCCATAGTTTTATGGGTGTTATTTAGCCGTATTATGCGAGTCCCCTTGTGGTTTTAGCATAACAAGAACAATTTTTTTTTTCAGCGAGTACAGATTGAGAGTCCAGATGAACTGCAGCAAGGAGGCAAAGCAGATTTTTCTTGGCCATGACAAGGTGGCCCAGGAACTTATGAATAACAGCCGAGTTAGCTTGTCTGAGAGGGCTGTTATTTATTCTCTCCTCTTATGCTTTTATGATTATGGATCACGCGGCGTGGCCCGTTGATTCCCGTGGAGCGGTGTTTGCGGAAGGCTTGAGGAAATAAGGCCACACTCAGGGGCTGACTTGGAGCCCAAACCAGGAAATCATTGGCACTCGGCCTCTGACGGGGACATGTGAAGGTCACGGCTTCTGGGGTGCCCAGGCCAGGGCTGCGGGTCTGACCCCTTTGTCACCGGCCGAGTGAAGGGAAAGCATGAGGGCCAGACACAGGCCGGGGCTCGGCTCACCCCTGCCCCCGGGGTCCCTCCACCTGGAGACCTCCGAGTGCGGTTTTATTGACTGCTCTTTGCAAGTGAGGGATCTGACTGTGAAGCTCTGGGGATCTGCCCAAGGTCACGGGCAGAGCAAGTAGCACAAACAGGAAGGCAGCCAGCTCTCCAGGACTACAGCTGTGCTCCGTCCTGCAGCACCGGGCTTCCTCATCCACCCCCAAGGCGTCCCCTGTGTGGACCTGCCCCCCCGCCCTCCAGGAATCCAGAGGGGCCTCCTGAGGCCGGACTCCCGGGTGGCCTCTGCCCCTCGGCAGCACTGCACGGCTCATGAGCAGGTTGAAACCCCCCTCTGTCCCAGGGACTCATGGACACTCAGGGTCCCAACCTCAAAACAGCCCAGCACCTCGCTGCCTGGGCTCCAGACCATGGCTGTCTGTGGGTGTCCCCAGAACTGCTCGTGTGGACTGCTCGTTCAGTGTCTCCACGTTTCCCAAACTGGTGTTCCAAGAAATTAGTCCCCTAAGTTCCACTGCGGAAGACGGAGGTAAAGAGTCGGAGGGGAGAAAAGATTTCGGGTCAGACAGACATGGGGAACCAGATTGAACAGTTAAAAAGATTCACTGCAAGACTCCTCAGCAACCTCCAAATTCTCTGTTTCTCTGAGGTGGTTTCTGAGAGTTCTTCCCCCAGGACCGTGTTTCCCTGGGCCACAGCCTGTCTTACTGAACTGGTGTTCAGTGGGACCCTCGTGGAGGATAGTCATGGCTCTGTAGGGTTTCTTGTCTATTTCAAAATACTCACGTAGCCTGTAACATAAATGTGTGCTTCGTCGGGACTGAATGCTGGGACTGAGCGATGGTTTTGTTCTTGTGGTTGGCATCACTGAGTTCAAGGAGAGATTTAACACACACCTTAGATTTAAGCCAGAGACGCTGAGCATCGAAAGAAAAATGTGCTCACCTGTGGATATCAGCAAAAGCATAAGAAATTTCTTTGAATGGGCCCTGGATGAGAAGCCTGGGACCCCTGAAGGGCGGGGCCAATGTCTGGAGTGACAGACGGCTCACTCACAGAGGTGCAGGTGACGGGCTCTCGGAGGAGGGATGTCCCCAAGGAGTCTTTGCCCAACACTGGATAAATCAGAGCAATCCGCTTCCTAACGGGGTCCCGCGAGGCTGTTGCAGAGGGATGCGCACATTTTGAACACCAGAGCTGCCCGAGGGGCCCAGGTGGCCCAGAGCTGGACCCAGACCCGCTGACGGGCCCTGATGTGCACCAGCTAGCCGCTCCACGCGCTCCGTCCTCAGCTCTTCACGGGTCCCGTGGCAGAGCCCTGGGCTGCTCCCTGTGAGGTGAATGGCTGATGACGAAAGGCACTTGGGCCGTGCCGGTCACCTGCTATCCTCTGAAGTGTGGGGGTGAAGGTGATGGTGAGGGTGATGTCCCTGGGATCACAGGGCTGTTCCTGCAGTCCCAAGCCTTCTTGTCCAAAGAGCTGGAAGGCCACTGCGTTCCTCTGACTTGATCTGTGACTCTGCTCAGGCACATCGAGGGACACGTGGAGACCTTGGAGTTGTAGGGAGGAAGGACTGCGGGAGGGGAGACAGGGAGACCATGACTGTGAGACCCAGGGTGGGGCGGGAGCAGGAAAGGCCCAGAGCACCTGGACCCTGCCCTGCAGGCTCACCCTGGGGCTCAGGATGTGGGCCAGGCAGAGCAGCAGGGCCTGGGCACACAGGGGACATGCAGCTGTGACCTTGAGGTGGAAACAGTCATTAGAGATGAGGGTCAAGGTCTGGTGGTCGCAGGATGGAAATGGGGCCATTGGGGTGCAGAGTCCAAGGGGACGTTGTCTTATGTGACTCTCCACATTAGGACATCTCGGCAGTCCTCGGGCATGTGTGGTTTGGGGGAATATGTGAGGGTTTTGAAAAGTTCTGGTTGACATAGTGTCCCATTTCCAGGGACGTACACCCCTTCGTCTGTTTCAGAGAACAATTTAAAAGAGGCCTTGGGATCGGCTGCTAATTACAGAGACTAGAAATAGCCCCGTTTTTAATAAGCTGATGTTATAGTTTCTCCCACATAAAAATTTGCAGGTAGATGGTTCCAGGCCAGTACAGTGACACCTGCCATTACCCCCCAGACTCCTCTATCTCCCTGCTCTGCCTTCCTCCAAGCTGCCTCATGGCACAATAGATTAACTGCAGTGCCAGCTATCACGTCCAACAGCAGGCAGAAAGAAGCAGGGAACAAAGAGGGTGATGGAGGACTTGCCTCCTGGGTAAATGTTATCTAAAGTGCTTCCCAAGAAGCCCAAGTGACTTTTGCTTACACCTTCTTCGCCCCCCTTATCTGTAAAGGAGACTGAGTCATAGCGCTGACCATCTCCCTCTGACGGTGGCCACCTTCACAGTACAGCGGTTGTTTAAGGAAGGAGGTCCTTAAAGGGGTGTTAAGAAGACATGGAAGTGCAGAGTCAGCTCGTTTACTCCCCTGGGGCTCATTCACACTGACTGTAAACTTGCTGAGAAGCCAGACCACCTCCCTCTTGTCCTCAGCTGCATCCCAGTAGACACTCAGTAATTGAGTATTTACGGAATGCTTCCTGAAGATCATTTGAACTTGAGAAAAGTGTTACTGGGTATGATGAACCAAGATGGTATTTCAAATTGCTCCTGTTACATGGAATCAATTTTCAGTCACTGACTTTCCTGCAGATTTAGGCTGGAAACCCCTGGTCCCTTCTGGAGACTTCCCGGGAGTTTTTCCTAACGGCTTGTACTCATGGCTTCACCGAATGTGAGTTTGAATTTCCTGGATGAGGCCTTTGGAAATGATCTCAGGAATCCAGTTAAAAGGCTCCAGGCCCAGAGATTTAAAAGAGGTGAGAACCGGAGGCCTCTGCAGCAGGCTGACTGGTCCACACTTCATTCTAAAGTGGTTATTCTTTTTCAGGAAAGACTTCTGATGTGTGCCTAGAACATAAGAGATGCCCAACAAAGACCGATTTAATAACTCCTGATTGCACATAAATCTTAGGTCAGGGTTAATCAATTCCCCATTGATTTCTAAAGAATGTGTTTGCAAATGATAATCAGATTTTTTAAAATGAGAACTGAGCATTTTCTTCCTTTATTCAATAAATCTCATTTCCAAATTGTACCTTAAGATGGGGCAATCGGTAATTTAGACTAAGAACATAAGGCTGTATTTTTGGCAGTTTGATGAGTTCTCTCTGAGGTAGCTGTGTGAGCGTTACACCGTGATGTGTGTCATGAAAGTGGCATCAACTCCAAGGGCCTGTCCAGCCGGAGAGGGCGTCATGGGCAGATGCCCCCATTTTTACAAAGGGCTGAAGGCAGGGTGCAGGGCCCACCCTGGTGAGCTGAACGGGAGCCCCGCAGATCCGAGGTTAGGCCGCCAGGTGACGACCCCGCCTGCTCTCCCTGTCCAAGGCCAGAGGGGCTCTTTCAGGACATAAGACGCCCAAGAGTCTTATTTTTGTTTGAGGTATTAGCTTTTATTAGTAAAAATGTTTTATTAGTTAACATTCTTCAGCATTTTCTCATAAACGCTTAGCTGCAAACTCTCTTGTGCTTCTTCATATCCTAGTGACGTAGTGTTTTATCTATAGAAGTGTGAGAACTAAAGGTCTGGTCCTTCCTCTAACAGGGTTGATAGAAATCTGACCTGCACTATTGAGAGGGTGGTGTTTGGTTTTTGTTTTTTTGGTTTTTTGTTTTTTGTTTTTTTTCACCTGCAGAACACATTTCATTATTGGAGAACTTGTGTTAGTGTTGAGGATTGTTGTTAAATTTGAGAAAATCTATCAACTCTGTTTTATGTACAGACGTGTGTGTGTGTGTGTGTGTGTGTGTGTGTGTGTGTGTGTACAGACAGGTCTGTGCTCTACAATTTCAGATTCTTGTGTAACGACTGATCTTTAAATTGATAATGCTGCTAACCAGGTTGTCAGCCAGGGCCTTGTCTGTGGCACACGAGGAGTATTGTGTTCTCTTTATCCGTGTCAGGACAGCGGGTAGCACGGGCAAGGATTCTAAATCCATTTCCAATGTGTTCGCTATGATTCACTCTTCTTCATTCATAGATTTAGCCAACAATGAAAGAGCCATTTTATTTCTTAGTTTAGAAATCTACCCTTCCTCTTCATGAACTGTCTGAGGTGGGGTGGCACTATTGATTTCGGTCCCTTGTCCCTTTTGCATTGGGTTCCACTGAGGTTCTGTGAAGACCTG